TTTTCTATTTTTTAATGCTTTACATTTTGCTAACATTTTTTCTATCCTATACATTGCATTTTCAGCAGCTAATAAAAACTGAGTATCTCTATACTGCTCTTGACTTTTCAATAAATCAATCTATCTCTGAAGCTTTTCCGTGATGTGGCCATTAATTTCTTCTCACATCTTATTAGATTTTTCAACAATTATATTATCAATCGTATCATCACTCTCTTCATATTCTTGGAGTGCTTCCGCAAGTTCCTTATCAGTTTCATCATTTGGTTTCATATCTTCTATTGGCATATTTTTCTCATTAATTAGCTCAAATTCTTCAAGTTCATCTTCCTCGACTGGCTCTAAACCTTGTGCTAGTAGAATCAGATCATTATGCCTCCAGAAAGACAGAGATCTATATTGTATAACTTTATTAAAGAAGTTTGGTTTTAAGAGACAGACAGATTGGACCAGATATTTGCAAAGAAGAAAGTGGCTGTTAAGATAAGCTGGACATGAACAAGTCCACATTTTTGGATCGGTAGCATATAAATCACCACTTAATATTTTTTTAAACATGTTTTCCAATCATGTTTAAAAGCAAAATGCCATGATGCTATAGTCTTTGTTCTGTTATCTGATTCTATTTGTTGCATTTTAATTATATATTAGGGAAGAAGATGCTCAGTAAGAATCTATATAAGTAAATCAATGCGCAGCTTATTAAATTTATAAATATAATTATGTTTGATAAGCCTCTAATATGATTTCACAATCATTGTTGTTTTTAATACTAAAATTTTATTTTTTGCACTCTGTGTCCAATTAGGCCATTTCAATAAATTATACTACTCTACTTACAAATATGACTATACCCATTTAAAATTATTATTCTTGCAGTACATATACATTTCTTTAATCGCAGATTCATAGATTTGATCAGAAGAATTGTACTGCATATTAGCTGCAGGGATATATGGATGTTAATTAAAGTGCTTGGATATAAGATTGAGAATATGGTTGTGATGCTCTATTGGACAAAAGGTAAAGGTCGTTTGCTGTTGTAATATTTTTTTAAGGTAAAAATCAAGATTGATAAATGGATATTCTGCATTTGCTTGATTTGCAGAGTATCTAGTTATTTTTGGTATTTTTTTCAATCCTAACTGCCTTTTGATTGCTCTTTTTAGATGCCAAAAACAAAGCTAAATATTTGCTTCTGGCCATATTGTCTTTGCCGCTAAAATCTTTGCTAAATCTTTATCAGTTATTACGAAAGATGGGTTGATTCCTACATTACGCAGCTTATCAAAAAAATAGAAGATCATTTTCGTGTGGGCTCCATCATTAATTGCAGTTGTTGTAGTCAATAGCATATAAGCTAATGGGAATTCCATTCTATCTACTTCTGCAAGTACTGAATATAGCTCGAGATTCATCTTGTTAGTGTTATCTAAATTGTAAAAAATTATTAGTTATTAATAAGAATTTTTTTTAAGTTTTTTAAACTTAATTATATTAATTAGTGTTGTATACTAAATCCTTCGGACTTGACGAAGTGAATTTCACCAAATATCTGACTTTGATTTTAAAACTGGTAAAGTTTAACAAAATATTTAAAGCTTTTGAAATCTTTGAAACCAGAAATAGAAATATATAGTAAGTGTAGGTGGTAATTCTCTAAGATAAATAAAAAACATAAAACTAATCTGCTACTTATTCTTTTTTATAATTCTGTTCTTTAATACCTTCATAATAAGAGATGCCAGAAGGAGTATTTATTTTAAATAGGTTGATAGTTTTCAAAGCAATGAGGATTAAAAATTTCAAAAATTTCGAATTTGGATGAAATCAAATATCAAAGACAATTCTTAAAGTTTAGCTTGCAATACTAATATTAATACATACATGTCGCATCTATACTGATCTTGACCACATTTATACCTAACCTGTTAATGATTTCTATAATTCTAAAGCTAATCATAGTAATACCATCATCTGTAATATTTAGTAATATTTTAGTATAATCGTATTCTTCAACGTTTTAATAGCTGATTGAATTTAATCTTCATCTTTTTTTCCAGATGTGTTGACTGAGATTTATCCACCAATAATAAATCTGTTTCTCAGTAATATTCGGGCTTTTTGTACCAAGATTTTCCCAAATAATTTGAGGTGTTTGATGAAGATTATTTTAAACGTATTCTTTTATTTCATTCATAACACGTATATCAGCATATTCAGCATGATATTCATGGGTTAATTCAGTCATAACTTCTTTTTTTTTCTGTATCTACAGTAATCTTCAACCAGCCTTTGCAGTGGAACCGTTGCATTGGCAAATGATCTCTATGCTTAGTAGAATTTTCATGTTTTTTTGGCTTTTTTTGTCAGTCAATTAGTTGTGCACAATAGTATCTGAGCATAGTTAGGTAATCTGATTTCTGTAGAAGTTTATCTTTGTAACTTCAAAAAGGTTAGTTTTTTTAATTAGGATATAAGTTTTTTTTTTTTTTTTTTGGTTTTAAGGTGAGGCCTTGCTCGTATTTTTATTAGTAATTCAAAGATAGTTACAACATAGATTGCTATAGTGCAATTACTAAAGTAATTGACAAACATAGAAATTTACAAAGCTACTACTATTTGTAACAGTACA